AGACAATTCGCATTCAAGTGGCCCCACGATTTGGAGAGGTGGTTGAGGATGCGTGGCGCACTCTAAACGAGAATGATCGGCGCCAGTCTTGGATTGCCTCTCACACGCGCAATACCTGTTTTACTAACAATTACTCTCAACACAACTCAATGCAGTAAGGCATTTATGAATACGACGAGAGCGCTGGTAAAGTGGCTTTGTTTTCTTTTGCAACTGGGTGGTGACGAGAAAGAACCAATCGATGGTCTCTATCTCTTTCTCTCGCCATTTTGATCGTTCGATGGCACGACCGCGATCGGTGGGAGTCGTCGGCTCTATCGGCGATGCTCAATCGGCACTTTTTTCTTGTTCTCGCATAGATTGCACGCCATTGTCATCGCACCGATTTCGTTCCTAGATTGCATTGCTACCCCGGTTTCAAAATTTCCCCCTTCCCCATTGTGTCAAGAAGACTGCTGACAAAATACAGCATGAACTACCGGCCTCACAAGGGTAAGCACCCCCGCTGTGCCAATTTCAAAACTTCCACAGCGCTCTAATGGTAAGTCCTGGAACGTGTCCTCAATGCGACCCCTCTGACGTTCGATATTATCGTTGGATCTGGCCATCACCTGACACACCCCGAGCTCCCGAACCTCACCCTCGCTCCTCGCCCCCTCTCCCCCAAGATTTCTCAAGAACTGTCGTCACTGAGGGAGGGAGGGTATAAACGACTTCTACAACTCCTGAGAAGAAAACCTCTTTAAAACTTAAACTGCTTCATTTGACGCATCATTTTTTCCACGACCACGACCGGGTGTGGGTCGCAACGACAAAATGCGATTTTTCCGCTCTTCGCTGCGCAAGCATTTCGCTGTAGCGACCCCAGCTCCACTCATTCCTTCCCTTCTACTGCACGCCCATCTTGGGCCTTGATGTTCGGTGTGCCATAGTAAGTTACCCTGTCACTATCACTACAAGTTGTTCTGAGGCGGTATCTTAAAGCCACGAGTCAGGATTAGGCAACCAGCAGAAGTTCTTCCCAGGGTGCGATAGTGGGCTCCCCAAGCACTGAGGGCGCGACACTATCGCGACCCAAAAGTGCGCGGCAATGGCGCTAAGGCCTTGCCCGCCGCGCTGCCAGCGTAATCCACCACGGCATACGTGGTCTCTGCGTCCTCTCGCGTATGACGTACTATCTCGCGTTCTCCCTCTCCTCGCAGCGCTGTGTCTCTCCGTCGTACTACGGCCGGCCTCCTAAGGGAAATTTAGTGTTTTCTATGGTGCTTTTTGCTTTTTCTCCTCACTAATGTTCCTCATTGCACCCCTTGCCTAATGTTTGAACAAAATAACGCATCAATTCAATCCCGACTCGTGCCTTTAAGTCCCTGATTAGGCGCTGGCACTAAACCATAAATCCAAACGTTTGGGACGAACTATCAGGTGGGTGAAACAGTGGCGCTCCTCTATGAGCTTAGTTCATCTACGAACACTTGCCCGAAATTTAACCCGATTTCACCACTCAATCATTTCTTCTATTATTTGGAAGGTCCGTGCACGTCCACGCGGAGGTTTGTGCAGCTGGGGGCGTGGCCAAACCTTTTTTGGTCTTGTTGGAGCGCTCAGAATTCGCGGTAGCCGAGCCTGTCATTTTGCGCGCTGTTTAGTTCAACAATAGTAGCACCGTTCTATAAAGCTCTCGAATTCTTCTTCGGTAAGGAAAATATAAGCTGGGAATATTTTTTATTAAATTTCTTCTGAACGAACAATTTTCTGAGAGACTCTTTGCACCCCGTCCTACCTGATTTTGGTGATGAGCCATGATTTTCCTCGCTCTCAAACTGTACCTTCAAGTGATCTATTGTCCGGAGTTTCATCAAGAGCTTAATATTGAATTACAGAAAGAGGTACTGAAAATGACTATGAAGCCTTCAAAAGCTCGAAATAAGCTTGAAAAATGCTGGGGCAAAAAGATGCTGTCATAAGAGACTAGCAGGAGCTGCCGCTAGGATCTTTTCGGACCCTGTTTCCAAATTGTATACACGATCTTTTGGGATGGAATTCTTACCTCTTCATATAATTAAACCTTTACCACTTTCACTTATGCGTATTTGCAAGCCCTTTGCCGTTTCTTGTCTGAACAATGACCACCATTGACCACCCATTCCATTAGTAATCGAATCCGAGAAATGAATCATCGCATTTCTACGAATGATCAATGGATGAAAAGGATTTTGTTTTGCACTGACACCTGCTTGTCTGGACCATTCCCCAATTGGGCACTATTCAACTATTACAACCCCAAAATCTCAAAATTTTATTTTTCGTCGAAACTTTGTCTATAGGGGTAATTCGGTGCCCTGATTACGAAAATGACATTCATTTTCAACGGGGCGCCCATCTGGCGCCAGGTGGCGTCACCTTGTCACGACAGTTGTTTTCACCAAACTCGATGTAAACTTCTGGGTAGGGGTAATTTGGTGTCCAGATTACGAATATGACATTCATTCTTGGCGCTAGCTCCATTTAGCGCTTTAATCTCTTCGTCTGCGCCCTCCTAGTGACTAGATCGCGATCAGGACTAAGCTTTAGGAGAGAGGAAAGATATCAGTGAGTGAGCCCCCTACCCTGTGATCTCACACGCTCCATCTTCGTCACACGGTGCCTGATTCACTCATTCCGAGTCTCCCTATCCCCTAAGCTTAGTCCCAAGGCGCTATGTATAGGTGAGAGAGCCCAGAAAAGCGGGAAGTATGCGGTAAACAGCGGTAATGTCAAAAACGAATGTCATATTCGTAATCAGGACATCAAATAACCCCTATACAGAACTTTACACCGAATTTGGTGAAAACATGTGTCGTGACAAGGTGGCGCCAACTGGCGCCAGATGGCGCCACCGCCAAAAATGAATGTCATTTTCGTAATCAGGGCACCGAATTACCCCTATAGACAAGTTTCGACGAAAAATAAAATTTTGAGATTTTGGGGTTGTAATAGTTGAATAGTGCCGACGTCAGTTATTGCGTCACGTGTGTATTGCGGGTAGCGTAACACAATTCACGCGTTTTTTGCAGCTCTTTTTTTTTCGCAACGTACCTAAAAATTGCAAGGAGTGCTGGTTTACCTTAAAATTAGATGGGTTCTGATGATTTTCATGAGACTTCCACTGGACCAGTTGCGTATGTGTTTGTATTCTTAGGCAAAAAGTCTTATTGACCCATGCGCTCGATTGTGTGACGAACATTGCCAGGTCGCTCTTGTGATGACAGCTCCCCCGCTCTCACTGCTGACAGCTTTCATTTCTACTTTACCTATGTTTAACCATTTTCCACTCTAAAAGTTGAGATCTCTGCATTTTTGTTGGGAGAAATGCAGTGATCTTGGAATTAGACATAGTTGGACTATTGATTCTTGTGCATTCATCAATTTATCTCTTATGAAGCATGGAAGAGAAGAATCAATGGTGTACTGCATTGATTTGAGGGTGGAGGAGGTGGGAAGGGGAACCCAGCACTTCTTATGGTGATAAGGGTTTGCAGCCGAAGGTTTGTAAATCGTGGTTCCTTCCTACTTCCCTTCCTGTGAAGCAACTAGATATTATAAATCTAAATAATCCATTCTGTCCCACAGTATCCAATTTGTCAAAAATGAAAAAAAGAACTGAAAAGTGATTTTTTGCATATTTTTGACTTCTTTGCAAAGAATTTTGTAGCTCATAGTGTTTCTGAACATTTGTCTGATTTATGTTCACGGATGCAGCGATTGAAGTTACACCGAGCAAAATTTATTATATAGACGATGGGCGCATCGACTGGCAATAAATTTCGGGTTTTCCCTATTTTCCCACCATAACGGCCAAAAAGTCTGCGAGGGCATGAGGATTTCCGCCTTTGACGGCGACCCTTTCGTTATTTGCTGCTGGTGTCAAAGCAATTTGATCACCAAGATGTAGCTTTTTAAGTTGTGGTTACATCTGCAACCGTTTGGTTATACGTATATTTGGTGGACTCACAGATGGCTGTCAACCTGCGGCGAATGATGCGTGGATCAGGGTGCGTTCATAGTCGGTGCTGCAGGCTTTTACTTTTGACACTAATGGTGTGGAACGATGCGCTAGCCCTAGTCAAGAACATAAGAAGTGTGACTGAACAAAAACTCACCTTGGAAAGCCGCTAGAAAGGGAGCTGAACAGCTTCGAAGTGGGCGTGGTTGTCGGCTGCAATCCCTCGGCCGATTTCAACCACGCCCACTTCGAAGCCGTTCAGCTCCCTTTCTAGCGGCTTTCCAAGGTGAGTTTTTTGTTCAGTCACACTTCTTATGTTCTTGACTAGGGCTAGCGCATCGTTCCACACCATTAGTGTCGAAGGTAAAAACCCTGCTGGGACTGTTGCTTCAAGTGGGAGAATGGCCGCAGAAATGCGTACTTGCGCTCTACGGATGGTGGCTGTCATTACGTGGGGAATTTGACGTTGGTACCGTGCAGTGCATAATCTGTGCTCATGCGTTTTGCCGATTTGCACGAGAATGTGAGAAAAACTTCCGGTTAATATTATACCCAAACACTGTGGGCGGTAATCTGCCGTCGAGTAAATCGCTTATTCGCGCTCTTTGCAGTTGAGCGGTTCAGTAGCGACGCGAAGCTGCCGATGTCAGCTGCGAATTCGCCAAGTCTAGACAGCTTTTTCCCGCGCTTTATTACAGTCCTTATTGAAGCGGCACTATGTCCCTGAGCTAACCGTCATCTTTGAATGATTGTGGTCGCTCCTTGACGTTTTTCGTGAATTAATATGATTGGACGTCCTCTACGAACTTGATGCATTCTACGCATTTGTGTTTTTCTCCTCACCAATCAGTTTACCAATGCATTTCCAATGCTCCGGTTATTAAGCGTTTTTCGATCACTGGTACGTGCTGATCCACACGTAATATTATTTCAATTTATTGCCATTTTCGTCTTTCGCATGTGTAGAATATTTTCTCTAAATTCTATCTAAGAAAAAACATGTTTTTAGTCTACCAGGATGACAGTTCCCGTTGAGCTCCGTCATGATCTCGAAGATGCTGCAAACCGTATGCGCATCTCAGCCATCGAGATGACCTGTGCCTCGAAGAGTGGGCATCCAACGTCTTCTACTTCTGCAGGTGAATTGGCTAAGATATCACTTTCGTGATGGAAATAACGCTTTATTCGCCTGAGACAAATTAAGGCCAAATAGGCCAAATGCACGAGAAGCTTTCTGAGTAGCTTCGCATCACTCTCAACTAAGGTTCAGATGACCATAAAGCTGACTCTTACTAATTTACAGCTGAGGTTATGTCCACGCTGTTTTTCCATGAGATGAAGTACGATGTCGCTAACCCAAAGGCAGCGAGCGCCGACCGTTTCGTACTTTCAAAAGGTGAGTCTCTAACTGAGTTGATCGTGCTCGATCGTGATCAATCATGCTAGATTTTAAAAGCAGCGCACTTGATGTTCCAGGGTCATGCCTGCCCAATCCTCTATGCAGCATGGGAAGAAGCTGGCTTGCTTTCAAGGGACCAGGTCATGTCTTTGCGTAAAGTCACCTCGGATATCGAAGGACATCCGACTCCTGTACGTTTCTTTTTTATTTTATTAAAAAAACCGGTCACATATATTAGAAGTGTAGGTGTGGTTCACGGGTGTGGTTCACTAGGACAGAAAGCGACTTTTTCGCGTTTCGCAGCGCGAAACATTTTTCGCTGCGGGAACTCCAGGTCCACTATGATCAGCGGTGGACCTGAGGTTCCCGCAGCGAAAAATGTTTCGCGCTGCGAAACGCGAAAAAGTCGCTTTCTGTCCTAATGAACCACACTCTAGAAATGTTCAGGAATGGTCTGGGTGTTGAGTAGAAAGTGAAAAAACGCTTCAACTCATTTTCGTTAAGAGACTTTCTAGCATGGGTTCAAGGGTTCAAATCCTAGTCAGGTCTCAATGTTGAAAATAGTTGACGAATAGGCCATCAGAACGCTATCCTTGCTAAGTGTGGCCGGGCACTTTCCTGATACCGAAGCTCACTACTTGCGGCTAGTTTTTCGAATAGCTTTGAATACAAATATTTTAGCGTCTGAACTTTATTGATGTTGCTACGGGATCACTTGGGCAGGGCTTGTCGTGCGCCGCTGGAATGGCTTATGTCGGAAAGTACATCGATAAGGTATTTTGACTTTCGTTTTTAGTGCCAATCAATGGCTAAATTCCTGACAATGAATTATCGGTTTCTTATGTTGCTTGTTCTAGGCAAGCTATCGTGTGTTCTGCTTGTTGGGAGATGGAGAAACTGCAGAAGGTTCAGTGTGGGAGGCGGCAGGTTTGCAGCTATCGTTTTTCTTTGTTAAACTCATCATAAACAACTCGCGGGCTGG